CTATCCATTCTCCTTTGTGCTTCTAACCTGCATGCTGCTAATTCCCTGCCAAACACATGCTATGACTGTACCTGTACTAGCAAGAGAAGGTGGGTGAGGTAATATCTTTTATTGGACCACCTTCTGTTGGTGACAAAGACAAGCTTTTGAGCTACACAGAACTCTTCTTCAGGTCTGGGAAACTTATTCAGTGTCACAGCTAAATACAAGATGGAACAGATTGTTTAGCATAAGTAGTTGACACATATTTAGGCAGTTTCTTCATTTGAGCTGCATGCTAATATGCCAGTCGCTGCCAATGTAATATTGTTTTGTCCTGAGGGGAAATTAAAACCATTTGTTACATATTTTTCTGTCTGAGTCAGGGATTATTTGAAGCCAATCACAGTTCACTTTCCAGTGAAGAGTATTAATATTTTGTGCACTGAACGCACTTTAACATTCTGTGTTGCATCCATGTTCTGTGTTCAGTGATCATCTGGCTTATATTTGAAGAGATGGACTTTCTTTAAAACTTAGCATCCCAAGACATGTATCTACTAAGAACCTATTCAGAACTATCTGATCAGATAAAAAATATTTTCAAGCAGTAATGATGCAAAGGATCATAAAATACCTCATTTATACTACTAATGAAATATTGCAGGGTAGTTTTCTTGAAAAATATGAGAAAAAGTTTATTTTTAATATTGTGGCCCTAGGGCATCACGCTGTGCATCTGGTGATACTTTGTATCTTCTAGAATTCAAATGTCTCTACTATACTAAGAAGTAGACTCCATATACATTTATCCTTCACTTAAGACAATGTAAGCCGTAACTACTACCAAATGGGAAAATGTGGCATACATTATGCATTCATTAAACACTTTATATCAGAGGAAGCCTTCAGAACCTTTGTTATAAGTCAGACACCAGAATGTGGCTAGCTTGCCTTTGACTCAAAGTATGTGTGTGTATTCAGTCAAATATGAGGACAGCACCAGAGCCAAAATCCTAAAGAGGCTCACTGCTGGGTTCTCCAGTGGTGTTTGCTGTTGTTTTGTGGCAAGTACAGTTAAATGCTGTAGAAAAATTGACCCGATGAAGGAACAAATCTTTGCATCTGAACATATTCTATCAAACAGCAAATTCAAATTCCTTGAAGTGACATGCCACTGCAGTAGAAGCAATTGTAGGTCTTTATGACCTATGTGGCCACACAAGAGACCTTCTTTCTCAGGGTCCTGAGCTTGTACCCAGCTGGTCAGCCTCCTGATTTCTTTTCTGTGATCTCAGCTGACTCTGTCAGGCCACTTACTGAATTTCTTAACTCTCTTTCCCGACTTAGCTTCAAAAGGTTCAGCTTTCTCTCCTGGTTTCCCAGGAGGTGACTAGAAGCCACAGAGCCTCACAATTAGGAGAGTCACTATATTTTAACAGGATGCTGAGGTGTGGGAGAAACGAGACAGACATGACGGGGGTCCTGGATGAGGATCTGCTAATGTTAATTTGCATAAGGTCTCACAAAACATAGGGCCAGCCATATGCTGCC